CGAAGGTACCCGGCCGTGCTGTGCACTCCATCCTGCACAGGCCCCCACGGAGCTGCGCCGCGGGTCTCCAACGCCCGCGGGTCTCCAGCCCACCTGGCCCTGTGCTAGGCGCCGGGATTCAGCAGTGAGCAAAACCCAGAGAAGCCCTCGGCCTCCTGCAGCTAAGGCTTCAGCGAGGGAAAAAGCAGTGAACATCACACATCACTGAATCATATTGTGTATTTAAAAGTGAGACTTTTTTGGAGAAAATAAAGAAGGGACTGGCATGGGAAATAGGGTCTGTTTTAAATAGGATGGTTATAGATATTTCACCAAGGAGACGACATTTGAGCAAAGATGCACAGAACATGAATCACAAACAAATGTATACCTCTCAAAAGGATATGCAGTATACCCCCAAGTCTGTGCATTACACACACACACACTGTTTACATCGATGAGCCTATATATACCCCATGTGCACGTACAAGATCACATTGTGTCTATACGGTATGTATGTCTACTACATGTGTATCTGTATCTATATGTATCACCTCCCTGCACACACAAATGTGCTGTGCTGTGTGCACATGTACACACCTACCACCATGCCTGGACCCAAATAACCATCATTACACCATTCTACATATATTCTTCAACCCCCAAATAGAGGGTCTGGTGTTCATGTACAGGCTCATATATATCACACACCTCAAGTATGTAATTTTTCTAATTTCATAAGCCACTTGTCAATATCATAAGTCATAACACATTTATTTATGTCGTGTTCATTATGTAAAATATATCACATAAGCATATACCCGAGTACATGTATCATAAACCTTGCGTAAATGGATGCCTATACTATCCCCTGTCACAAACACACCTACACAAGTCTCTCCCACACAAATATACTGTATGCACATTTCCCATATATTGCCTTGTACCTGTTTATACATCCAATACACATGTACCATGTGCAAATAATAGTAATAATATTTACAGGATACTTACTATGTGCCAGATACAGTGCTAGGTGCTTTACTTGGATTATCTTAGGACAACCGTATGAAATAGGTACTATCTGTTTAACCCAGCAGTTAAAAGCTCACACTGCAGTCAGATTGCCTGGGTTTGAATCCTGGCTTCACCATTATTTAACCTCTGAGAGCTTCAGTTTCCCCATCTGTAAAGCGGGGGCACTAGTAGTACTTACTTTTAGGGTTATTGTGAAACATCAGTAAGATAATAATGCATGAAAATAATAGTACCGTACCAGGCACATAGTAAGTGCTCAGTGAAAGTTTGCTGTGTTTATTGTTATTATCCATTTTACAGATGAGAAAAGTCAGGCTCAGAGAGGTTCAGCGAATTGACTGAGATCACACAACCTGTAAGTGGAGGAGGCAGGCCTGGAGCACAGGTCTGTGTGGCCACACAGTTCAAGTTCAGGCCCTCGAAGCATTCCACCACTCCTGCCCCCATATCACACGATGGGGACAAGTAACGCACACAGCAGGCACACACACCATGCAGACTCCATCTGCTCCTACTTTTAACACATGCATCACACATCTCCCATGTACCTATCACACAGATGTGAATTCATTCAGCATTTATATAATCAACACCTATCCACCCAGCCAGGCACCCAGCTAGGTGCTAAGCATCCAGCAATCAGCAAGGCAAATTTGATCCCTGCTCTTGTGGCACTTATAGACCAGCACATACAACTGTGAACACACACCACATATAACCTGTGTAGCCACAGCCCTGCTATGTGCACATGTCCACATGGGTATCCTGTACATACAGCCCACATTCATGAGTCACCCACACACCTCGGTGCTGGATCAGCTGCACGTAATCCACACAGACACATGCATCATTTACACAGAACCAGGATATCCACACTACCTGTTCCCTATCCACTTCCTGCGCATGTGTCATTCACACATGGCCAGTGTACACACCCTCCTTAACCTGTGTGCAGGTATTATACACACCCAGCACGTGTCACTCACGTACCTGTTCCTCTTTCTGCCCTGCACAGGCAGCTTGGGAGACCCAGGCCAGCCTAAGGTCTCTAAGTGGGTCTGGAGGGGTGGAGGCCAGAGATGCAGGGCCTGGACCCCCATCGCAGAGGAGAAAAGGTGGCCCCTGGCTTCACGGCTGGTGGCCAGGAAATTATAGTCGACACCAAACCAAAGCGGCCCCTTCTCGGGCCAGGTAATCAGGCCTTTCCCGGATTCGGCCTGACAGCTTAAATGTTCTAATTCCGCTGCCAGGGGCCCAGCTCCCCATTCCGTCCACGGCTCGGGCCTCGGCCCTCCACCATAATTGGACCCATGTTTTCATTACCCTGAGATTAGACAGGTCCCCTCCGGGGCCTGGGGGGACGCCTGCAGCTGCACGGGAACCATCCCCTGCACGAACGCATTTACCTGATTATGGAGTTTATTTTACAGCAATTGTCCAGAGTGCTGGAGGCCCCTTCCCCCCGCCCCCTGCTCCCTGGGCTCCAGAGGCCTCTACCAACCCCGGACAAGTGGTTTCTGCCTAATGTACTGAAGCCGCCTCCCCGCCAGCCCTTCGATCCTGGGGGCCCTGCTGGCCCCCAGCATGGATTGGGTCCCTTTTAAAAAAATCATTTAAGAAACCTGGATGGGTGGGGGAAGGGAAGAACATTCCAAGAATCTTCTCCTGGGGTACGTATGGGGGTGGGATCCTCCCTCCAGAGCTGTGTTTCATCCATTCATTCAGCAAGCACGTATTCAGTCCCCGAGTTAGTGGCAACGCCATTGACGGGTGAGGAGGTTCATTCATTCACACAAACTGGATGCCAGAGAAGAATGTGCACAGGGCCACTGCTTTCCCAGAGATCACAGCCAGCGGAGGAGGCCGGCGGTTCTCCTGTCACGTGACTTCTGCTTAGGTGGGGCTGCAAGACTTATAGGATGAAACAATTAAGAAAGGGTGTTCGGGAGGGGGGCATTTCAGGCAGAAGGTACAGCAAGTGCAACAGCCTGCAGAGAGAGAGCCCAGTGTGTACGAGGAAGGGAAAAAAGCTGATGAAGCTAAAGTTTAGGGTATGTGGGGTCTGCCCTGAGGCTGGAGTTAGGGCTCCAGTCACAGAGGGCCTCCCTCGAAATTGCTTGCCCTTTACCCTGAGGACATGGGAGCCATGGGAGGGTTTGGAGCACGGGAGGGACCCACTGTATAGCATGTGTGAGCGCTCATGTGTGCCAGGCGTGGTTCTGAACACCTTGTGTGTAGTAACTGATCTTATCCACACGTCAGCCCCGTGACGCAAATACTCCAGGCCCACAATCCCTTCTCCACAAGGTTGACATCCTACAACCTTCAGTGATCAAAAGATTTTACATAGGTTTGGTGACCTGAACTAAGGAGAAACTATTTTGGTCTTCATTTCACTACCTGGTATGAATATTCACACACTTTGTTGAAAAAATATGTGAATAAATTTCATTATAAGAAATGCCCCAGACCCCATGGGGAGGTTGTACAGTATACGGGGTGTGTTCTGTAATAGACTTTACAATCAGAAAAGCTTTGAAACCCTCCAACTTCACAGGTTTTAGATAAGGGCTTCTGGGCTTCTGGTATAATCTTTATTTTACAGATGAGGAAACTACAGAACTAGGTTAGAGCACCTAGCAAGAGCACCTAGCAAGAAAGAGGCAGGCAGTCTGGCTTCAGAGTCTGACCACAGCAGCACACACCCTGTCTTTTGGCTTTTGATGCTCTGAATTGGGGGTCTGGGGCTGCTCTAGGGGTTGGGGGCCCTGGGGAGGGGGTCAGGAGCTGACATGGCTCAGCACTTCCTCTAAATCTGGCCCTGTGTTAGCTATGCCCGTGTCTATGACCTGCAGCTGCACCCAGCTTGTGGGCACAGTTAGTCCCATTTCACAGGTGGAGAAAGTAAGGATCAGAAAGGGGAGGCAGCTCGGCCAAGGCCCTGCAACAAGAGGGTAGCAGAGCCGGGAATGGGGCTGGGGTCTGGAGTAGTCAGAAACCTGCCCTTCCCACTCTCTTGGGACTAGCAAGAGGAGGCCCCAGCCGGGCCAGGTGGGACCAAGGACACGGACTCCAGTAGAAAGCAGATCCGGGTCAAGAGCCCCACGCTGTCCAGTAGCAGAGCCCCTGTGCTCTAGTGTCACCCCTGTGTCAGCACGCCCACACCCCCAGCAGGGCCGCCTCAGCCTCACTTCTGGCCCATGACTCTTGCCTCCGTGCTCAGCTCCCTCCAGGAAGTCTTCCCTGATTCACTGGCACCAAGCATCTATTTTCTGGATATCTGGGCCCTCCGATTATGCCTTCTTTACTCTCCTTCACTAACCAAACGTGTTTTTAAGCCTTTTTATTCACCTGGCCTCACCAGGCGAGAGATTGTGGGGGGCAGTCCTTCCTTTGGAAGGGGCCTAGGGACCAGCTTCGGAGGCAGACTAAGCCACATTTCAAATCCTGGCGGGGACTTGATACAGCCACTATGGAAAACAGTATGGAGGTTCCTTAAAAAACTAAAAATAGAACTACCATACGACCCAGCAATCCCACTACGGGGCATATACCCTGAGAAAACCATAATTCAAAAAGACTCATGTACCACGATGTTCATTGCCGCTCTATTTACAATAGCCAGGACATGGAAGCAACCTAAGTGTCCATCATCGGATGAATGGATAAAGAAGACGTGGCATATATATACAATGGAATATTACTCAGCCATAAAAAGAAACGAAATTGAGTTATTTGTAGTGAGGTGGATGGACCTAGAGACTGTTATACAGAGTGAAGTAAGTCAGAAAGAGAAAAACAAATATCGTATATTAACGCATATATGTGGAACCTTAAAATGGTACAGATGAACCAGTTTGCAGGGCAGAAATTGGGACACAGAAGTAGAGAAAAAACGTATGGACACCAAGGGGGAAAAGCGGCGGCGGGGGCAGGGGTGATGAATTGGGAGATTGGGATTGACATGTATATACTGATGTGTATAAAATGGATGACTAATAAGAAAATAAATAAACATTAAAAAAAAAAAAGAAAGTTAGGGCTTCAACATATGAATTTTCAGGGCACCCAGTTCAGTTCATAGCGAGGAGTATTGAAAAAAAAAAATCCTGGCAGGGACAATTAGTAGCTGTGTGACCCAGGAAAGTCACTTCTCCAGGTCTCAATTTCCTCATCTGTAAAGTGGGAATAATAATGGCACCTCCTTCACAGGGGTGTTGTGAAGATTAAATGAGCTAATGCTTGTAAGTGCTTCAGCGCAGGGCCTCTACTCCTGACGGCTGCTGCTACAGTTACTCTTAGCTGCCTGGTGCATCACTGACTCTCAGCAAGTTCCTTATCCTCTGGCCGTTCCCATCCCTGCTACCTGACACTTCCCTTTGGGATTTTGGACTTTGCATCCGTACTGAGCACTCATGGCTCCCTGGTCCCTCTCCAAGACCTCTTACCTCCATGCCCTTGCCTGTGCCATTCCTGACACCTGGCATTCCCTCCGCACACCCCCCACTTATACAGGTCTCAATTCTACTATTCATTTGTTATTTACCCATTCGTTTTTCCACAACAAATGCTTAACACTTGTCTACTTTGTGCCCAGCTCTGGACCAGGTACTTTCACATAAATTATCAGTCCTCGAGACAGCCTTGCAAGGGAAGGAGTGTTATCTGCATTTTACGGAGGAAGACACTGGACTCAGAGAGGTTAAGTCGCTTGCCCGAGACAACCCAGCTGGCAAGCGGCAGAGCTGGGATTCGGCACCGACCTGCCAGCCTCTGGAGCCCAGCCTTTTACTCTCTGCCTTGCATGTACCGAGGCACAGAGTCAGAAAGCAGGTCCATCAAAGGAAAGCACTCCTCTGTGCCTGGGTGAGACAGAGGTGAGCAGGAAAAGGTAACGAGGTGGGTGCAAACCAGATTTCCACTGGGTTGGTGGACCAGGTACATTCTGCCAGGAGGACCTGGAGGGAAGATGGGTAGTCATGGAGCTTCCACCAGAGACGGCAGCTGAAAGTTGGGGGCCTGGATAGGATGACCCCCACCTGACTGCGGAATCAATGGGAGCCCTCTTCAACACTGCCACGCCCACCTCCCAGCCCCCTCTCCTAGGCTGGCGTGAGAATAGCTCTGTGATGAAAGAGAGATGGCTGCTTTCCTGCTGTCCTTGCCTGGGAGAGAAAATGAATGGCCCAGTGCTGGCCACTGCAGGAAGGCCCCAAAAAGTTCAGAAACCAACCCCCTCCCACAGGCTCCTCCTTCCAGGGACCACAGATCTAAGGGGGACAGCCCAGAGGGTCTCAGATCTTCCAACCCCAGACAGAGGCCAGCTCTGGTCACACAGCAGCTGAGAGCAAGGAGCAGATGTGGCCTGGCGAAGGGACCCGGCAGTCAGATGTAGAGAGATGGGAAGAGGGATGGGGGCAGAGAGAGAAAGGGGAGGAAGGGACATAGAGACAGACTCAAGGATGAAGACAGAGAGAGACAGGGAAAAAACTGCACACAGAGATGCAGACAGAAAGAAGAGCCTGGGGAGACTGAAAAGCAGCAGACGGCGGACACACAGGCAGTGAGGGGTGGATCCATTCAGCTGGGGAAGAAGGGCCCTTCGTGACTGTGCACAGAAGGACAGAATGGCAAGGGAACGGTCCTCAGGAGCAGCCAGGGGGAGCCGGGAAGCAGCCTCAGACCGTGTCAGGAGGCTCTGGCTTCATGCTGTGTGGCTCTTTGCCTGACCTTCCCCCCTCTGGACCTCAGTGGACCCACCAGCAACATGGGAGCAGTACAGGGCTCCCCTGCTTCTGTTCAGACTCCTGGATCTCTCTAACCCCACTCTGGGGAGCGGAGGGCAGTGATAGGCAAGGGCCTGAGCCTGGGGCTGTGGTAGCACAGATGTGTCCCATCCATGCCCACGGGTGTGGCTCTGGCTCTATCCACTTCAAGGTTCCATTGTGTCCATGATGAAGACTGAAGCTTGGGTCACATCCCTGATGGGATGGGAACCCGGCCACTTGTGCATCCACATGCCTCTCTCTGGGTCCCTGATCCTACACTGACTGTAACATGTCTGTGTACACGGGAGCTTTGAAAAAAGAACCTACCTGAAGGAAGTGAGGTTTGAGATGCACAGACCCCTGTCCTGGACAACCCTCAGGCCCGAACATCCTGTTCCCTTCCTGGTTCTCCCCTACCCCCAGCCCGCTCCCTGAGAGGTGCACAGCTGTTGGCCCTGGGTCCCCTGACCACACACAGAGCTTAATCCCCACGTTACCCTCCAGCCTCATGCCTGGTGTTGAGTCCAGGCCTGGACTATGAACCCTGACAGCCAACAGGAGCATCTGGAGGAAAGACCTGGTAGGAGGCTGGAGGCTACCTCCTGGGAGGAGACGCTGCAGGAGTCGAGAAGCCCAGCCCTAGAAAAGGTGACTTGGCAGAGCACAGTCTGCACTGTAGACCTCAGGGGGTGTCACGGGTCAGAGGGAGGAGGGAGCAGAGGTGGGCTGTGGGCCCAGGGTACGAGGTCAGGTTCACCTGGTCAGCAAGGAGCTGAGAAAGCCGGACCAGGCTCGCTGCAGGCAGGAAGCTCCTCAGCCCCAGGGGAGAGCAAGCACAGGCTGCCAGACGCGTCCACAGGATTCCGTCACCAGATAAGGGAGAGACTGGGAGCCTGCCCAGGCCCAATTATGAGACTATCCTGCCCCTTCACCCAAAGGAGAAGGAGAGAAATCATGGAAGTGAGGCAAGGGCAGCTGCCCCAGGCTCCCAAGTTTCCTGTGTGCCTTTTGTAGACTTTTGCTGATCGCCCGCAGGGCAATAGCTCGAGCCCTCCAGGAGAAACGATGATGATGGTAGGACGACGACGACTACTACTAAAGCAGCAGCCTTCGTCGGGTCAGAGCTAACATGCAGCTGGAATGCACTGTTAAGGTCCTGCCAGTTGTAAAAATATTGAAACATGCCCACACCAGTTGTCAAGTAGACACCGCCCCGAGCATCCTGAGGGCACGCCTCCCCGCCCAGACGCCGGGCCTGAAACTCCACATTCCATTCTTTGCCTGGCTCTGAGCATCCCCGTGCCTCAGTTTACCTGCAGGAACATCATCCGAAGGGGGTGCCCCGCCTTGGCCGCGGTGGCATCCCCTCCCCCCAGGCCCCTTTCCCGAACCTGAGCCATCCCGGCTCCCTCCCGGGCTGGTGTGAGTGCCCGCCTCCTGCAGGCCCCTCTCCACGGCTGCAAACCCAGCTCATTTGCATGTGGATCGTGCCTGCCACCATGGGTGCTGGGGTCAATTGAAACTCAAGAAAAGAGAAGAAATTTATGCAAAACTGTTGATTGCATTTGTATGTAATGAAATCATCCAATATTCATCTGACTATAGAATCTAATCTGAGAAGAGAACTGAAGGACATGAGTGTCACTGCAAAACCGTAATGAGCCACTGTAGTGATTAAAAAAGCTCTTGAGCCTTCTGAAAATCCAGGCAGAAATAGCGTCTAATCAACTCTGAATATAGGAGGCGAGATTGGGCTGCCGCGTTGCGCACGGCCCGCCGCGGGGCTGGCGTGCGCGGTAAACCCTGGCGGCCGCGGTCTGTGGGTGTCAATCGCCCGGCCACAATCAGCCGAGTCCTTGGTGCACAAAGCAATCGCCGCCTCTCGCCACGCAGAAGGAGCCCAATCATGGCTGTTGTGAAGAGCAGCTCTGGGCTTCCACACCCGCCTCAAAACCTTGGCCAAAGTCCTCTTCTGGGTTCCTTTTGCTTCTGCCCTTGGGAGGCAGGGAGGGTTTGGGGATCTGGGACTGTTATGCCTGGACACACCTAGGGCCCAGCCTGCCCAAGGGAGGCAGAGGCTCTGTGTTTCTCAGGAGCCCTGGCTCATCACTGAAATGTCACCTCCTCCATGCAGCATTCCCTGACTACCCCATCGAAACTGGCAACCTCCCACCAAACCTACACACTGAGTGCTTTTCCCTTACCCCTGCTTTATTCCCCTTCACAGCACTTATGCCTGGCCTTGTGTTACTTCTTTATCTCTCTAATGTCTGCCTCTTCCAAGTAGACTGTAAGCTCCATGAGGGCAGGGACTTTGTGGTGGTTTATTCACCACTGTGGGGTGTGGAGAACCATGCTTGACATGTAGTAGATGCTCAATAAATATTTGTTGAATGAATAAATCAATTTCTACAAAGAGCCAAATCTACTTTTTCAATCATTCATCAAATACTTATTGAGGACACAGCGTGTGCCAGGCTTTGTTCCGGCACTAAGCCCGTGCTGGTGAATAAGACAGACGCTGCCCACTTGGAGCTCACAGTCTGGGCAGAATACAGGCATTGAAGATGTTAGGTATAATCAAATGGGATGGTGCAGTGCTGGGGACAGACGACCGGCTGTGGGGAACTGCCAACGGAGGGTATGAATCCCATCTGGGGAGGTCAGGGAAGGCTGTCTGGAAGCGGTGACATTAGGTTGAGAGCTAAAGGATGTATAGGAGTGAGCCAGGTGGGGCAGGGTCTGGAGTGCCCCAGGCAGGGGGAATGGCGTGTCCCTGAAGCGACAGGCACGTGTGGGCACCTGAGAGAAGTCACAGCCAGAGCCAGCTGGAGCCAGAGGAAGGGAGAGCCTGCTGTGAGGTGGGATTGGAAAGACGGTCCAAGTCAAACCTTGCAGTTAAGACCTGGGGGTGAGAATCTGGGGCTTTTGTCTGGAGGGCATAGGGAGCTGTGAAGGGGAGCAGCACGATTTGCATTTTGAACAGTTCACCATATGGACAACGGGTCGGAGGGGCCTCCACCGTAATGAAGGAACGAAGGAGGTGATTCAGTTATCCAGGCGATGGGGAGTTATCCAGCTCTTGAGCAGGGCCACGTCATGGCAAAGTCTGGTTTAAGACGATTAATCTGACAGAGGAAGGAAAACCAGGTGGGAGGCAGAAATCAGCCTGGCAGCCATTCATTCATTCATTCATGTATTCAGCATTTAACAGATATCTCGGTGTGGACGAAGCTCTCCTCCACATTCTAGTTTATACTTTCCAATCTGCTCTGGGTTTGGCTACCAAGGTACCGATTATTAAAATGGGCTTTAAAGTTGGGGTCAATATGTTCGAGAACCCAAGGGACTGCGTGGGTCAGGAGGCTGGTTTCTTTGGCCTGGACTTCCTGACATCAAAGAGGCCCTGTGAGTCACTTGCCTTCCTTCGGCCTTAAATTCCTTATCACGACAAAGAGGGAATCAAACAAGATGATCTCCAAGGTCCCTCCCTCCTCCCCAAACCCTACAGTTTTATGTCCCATGAAGGCATAATGACACTGCCAAGCCCAGTGGATTAAAAATCCTGCTATAGGGCTTCCCTGGTGGCGCAGTGATTGAGAATCTGCCTGCCAATGCAGGGGACACAGGTTCGAGCCCTGGTCTGGGAAGATCCCACGTGCCGCGGAGCAACTAGGCCTGTGAGCCACAACTACTGAGCCTGCGCATCTGGAGCTTGTGCTCCACAACAAGAAGGCCACGACAGTGAGAGGCCCGCGCACCGCGATGAAGAGTGGCCCCTGCTCGCTGCAACTAGAGAAAGACCTCGCACAGAAACGAAGACCCAACACATCCAAAAATCAATCAATCAACAAATAAATTAAAAAAAAATCCTGCTATATGGTAGACTCCACTGGGCAGCCTGGGGCAGGTGGGTGGGTAAGCGGTCAGGAAATCTGGGATCAAGTCCCAGCTCTGGCACTCACTTATGCTGTTAATGCATGAGTTCTTCCCTCTCTGGGTCTCAGTATCCCCTTTTGTACAATGAGGGAGCTGCCTAGAAGTAAGGAGCCCCACCACCCAGACCCGAGACTGGAGTCCCAGCTCTAACCCTTACTGCCATCCTGTGACCTTGAGCAAGTCAGCCTTTCTAAGGTCTTTCCTGTAAAACAGGGGTTACTGTGAGAATTAAATGAGATAATGTAGCTTGGAACAGAGGAATCGCTCAGTAAATGGCGCTGCTGTGATGGATGGGCCCATGTCTGCCCGGGTAGGTGGGCCAGGACTGGGCCTTCCTGCCACCTCCACAATGGCTCCATTTTACCAGCAACTGGGATTCACTGGGTCGAATTCGGGGGCTTAGTGGGTAGATTTGGGTAGAAGGAGCCAAATGCCTTTATGTCCCACTGGGGATGCAGGGGGGACTCTGCTGGGACTCTAGCTTGAGGCTCTGTTAGCAATGGTGCCACAGTCAGCTGACCAGGGTGGGAAGATTTCCTGGTCACAGTAAATGAGACCTCCTCCTTCCTCCGTGAACATTTCTGAATGGCAGCTGCTCTCCTCCCTATATCTCCATTCTGAAAGCCATGTTTTGACTTTCAGGACCCCCCCACCCACCAACACCAATTGTGTGTTGGGTCTAAGATGTGAGCAGAGCTTGGTGGGCTGCCTCCTATAGCGGTGGGAAGGAGAGTGAGGTTCAGTCTCACAGGCATCCCTGGGCACTACCTCTGCGCCAGCCTTGTGCTGACAGGAGCCCGGTGCAGAAGACAGTCCATGGGAAACACAGTCACAAAGAGAAACACAAGAGGGAAAGTGCTGTGAGCCTTGAGAGTTTGGCACCGGGGCAAAGGGAGACCACATCTGATTGGGAGGTGAGTTCCTGGAAGGCTTCCTGTAGGAGGTGTCTGGAGGATGGCCAGGATGTCTCTGTCTCTATCAAAAAAATTTTTTTAAGTATAGGAAAAAAAAAAAAAGACAGAAAAGAAGGTAACAACCACTTCTATTTTCACAACCCCAAGTTACCACACTGTCAAGTTTTCAGCTATATCTATATATGTGAGATGACATTAGGTATCCTTTAAGTCATCCCCCCACCGCCCAGTAGCAATCTACCATTATGAATTTGGAAAGTATCCCTTCACAACCCTCCCTTTAAAAAGACAATTTTATAATGCAAAATAAAGACAGGCATAGTTTAAAAAAGAACTGCTTTGTGTTCCAGTCATTCTAATTTACATAAGTGGTGTCACACTTTTTATATGACTCCGTTTGCTTTTTCCGCTGCCCCTTAGAATATGTTTCGGGAGCCCTATTCTTATTGAAACATATGGCCCTGACTCATCATTGCATTGGATGGATGCACCGCATTTATTTATCCCTGGAATGGGTAGGGTTTCCACGGATGCAGATAATCAAGGGATAACACTAGAGGTAGACAGAGCAACAGCAGCAAAAGCATGGGATAGGGAGGCTGGGGCCCATCTGGGGGCTGGCAGGGGTCCAGGGTGGGGGAGCACAGGGCACTTGAGGGGGGAGCTGGGGGAGGTCCCATGCCTCAGGCCAGGAATCTGCAGTTGGCATGCTGGACATCTGGGATTGTGGGGACAGGCCCCCCCCCCTTAGAACCACCCGCACAGCCTTCACAATAATTCCACTTATCCACTCTCCAAGTCCTCCCTGGGGAGGCCTCTGTTACTCTTTCCATTAATTGTCTCATTAATGACCCACTGAAGTCAAGTACCCATTGTTCTCCCGGGCCTGGGGCAGCCTCCCTGGCTTTCTCCCCTCTGGGATTCGTAAACGTCTTTCCTTCCCCTGCTTTCTTTTGGCAGGCGCCCTTATCTGGTCCCTGCAGCCCTGGCCCGGCTGGTGCTGCCTCTTCCTCCACCCCACACCCTGCGCTGCAAACCTGGGAGCCCCGCACGGCAAAGCCGCCCGCCTGGCTCACTCTCTCCCACTCTCTGTCTCTGCCTGCCTTGCTTAGCCCGCGTCTAGGTGTGTGTCTCTTTCCATTTTTCTTTTCTTTCTTTCCTTTTTATTTTTTTAAACCATCTCTCTGTTTCTCTCCCTGGCTTTCTGTCGCCTTCTCTCTTTGTGTGTACTCCTCTAGCTCCCTCTGTGTCTCCGTCTCTGCTTATCCAGTGTCTCTCTTTAGGAATACTTGTTAATGGTCTCATTGTCACCATCTGTTGCTGTTTCTGTGACCGTCTCAGCCTCTACCTGCTGATTCCTGTGCTTGTACACGTGCAGGGGTGCATGCGGGCGTGCGTGTCTTTGTCTCTCTCTGATTCTGCCCCTCTCCCTCCCTCCCTCTGGCCCTGCGTGCATCTCTCTGTCTCTCCCTGTCGGTCTCTGTCTCCCTCTCTCCTCTCCCTGACTCACCTCTCCCTGCTCATCCGTTCTCCCTGCTCATCCATCCTCCCTGGAGGGTCTCTGAACCCTGCTGATTGACTATTGTCCTGTTCCAACCCCTGCCTCACGGCCACTGCTTGCTCACCCACTGGGTCCCTGACACCCACAGAGGCCAAACCGCCTCCCTCCCTCGCTTTTCTCCCAGGTTACAGCTCCGGCTTCCCTGGGATGACAGCCTCGGGGGGTGTCAGCTCTAGGAGTAGGCGGGAGGTCCCACAGCTCCCAGATTGTGGGATTCATGCATCGGTACAGTTAAAAAAAAAATGGAGGGGACCAACAGAAGGTGACCAACTGTTGAGTTTTCTAAGCGAGGATTTTTTTTTCCTTAGTATTACCAACTTCTTACCATTCCATTACAGAAAGAATATTTTAACACCAAAAACAAAAGTAGGAAGAGCAAGATGTAAAAATACAGAATAAGGGCTTCCCTGGTGGCGCAGTGGTTGGGAGTCCGCCTGCCGATGCGGGGGACGCGGGTTCGTGCCCCGGTCCGGGAGGATCCCACATGCCGCGGAGCGGCTAGGCCCGTGAGCCATGGCCGCTGGGCCTGCGCGTCCGGGGCCTGTGCTCCGCAGCGGAAGAGGCCGCAGCGGTGAGAGGCCCGCGTACCACAATAAAATAAAATAAAATAAAGAATACAGAATAGTCCTTTAAGTTAAATAAATTTAACTTTATGGAAACATTTGCTACACTGCCTTTGTCTTACTTATTTTGCCTCAAATGGGTGTAAATGTTGTCAGGGAGCAGCAGCGGTTCTCTGGCTGAGGTGGAAACCACTGATCTTGTCCAAGCCCTTCCTTGGTACCCATAGGGAAGTGGCAGGACCTTTACTGATGTTGGAAAGGGCAAAACTGGGACAGCGCACGAGCTCTCACTGGCCACTTCAGCACCTCACAAGGTCCTTTCTAGCTCCTCTGGTCTCTTACTTAAAATAATGTATTGAGGTGGGCAGACACCAGACTCCCTGTGTTCTAAGTCTTCCTCTGGTCTGTGTGTCTTTGAACAAGTAACTTAACCTCTCTGTGCTTCATGTTTCCTCATTTCTAAAATGAGCAAACTAATCATCTCTAGAGTTGCCTAATACATAGCAAAAGCCCAGGACTTGTTATTCTTAACAGCAAAGAGGGGGTGATTTCAGCTGATCCGGAGGGCAGCCTGGGATTAGGGAAGGAAACTTCTCCTCCTTTCTTCAGAGATCCCATCTAACATGCTCAGGCATCACAAGCCCAGGAGCCAACACTCTTGTCACCGAAGCTGACACTCCCAGTAGGAGCACAGGCGAGCCCGCTCAAGTGGCATTCGTGGCCACAGGCGCCAGCAAGGGTAGCCTGGGTGGGAGAGGAGTATGGTGGGTGCCGGGGATCCTGGACGCTTGGGAGGAAGCCGTTAGGAGATGCCCAGAAACTCCCGAGGCGAGGCTGGAGGTCTCAGCAAGCAGGTAAGAGTAATTATAGAGAAACTTTGGGTTACTGATACAAACTGACTTCATTTGTATTCAAGGCCTGGCAGGCCCATTACAATCGGACAAACATTTCCTTAACACCTGCTCTGCGCCCAGCACTGTGCTAGTCAGGGGACCAAAGGTTAAAAATCAGGGGGCTTCCTTTCAGGGGACTTACACAAGGCTCACCTAGTGCCAGTGGTGCTCTGCCTCAGAGGCAGGGCCAGAGAGCCAGCAAGGCCTGCCTGGGACATGTGCCACATCTGTTCCCGGGGTTGCACCACTCAAGGGTGG